CCTTTGAGCCAGTGTTGCTGACAAGGAAAGCCCCTGAGCCAGTGTTTGTGATAAGAAAAGCCTTGGAGCATGTGTTGGTGATAAGGAAAGCCTCTGAGCCAGTGTTGGTGATAAGGAAGGCCTCTGAGCCAGTGTTGGTGATAAGGAAGGCCTCTGAGCCAGTGTTAGTGATAAAGGAAGCCTCTGAGCCAGTGTTTGTGAGAATGAAGGCCTCTGAGCCAGTGTTTGTGATAAGGAAAGCCTCAAAGCCAGTGTTGGAGATAAGGAAAGCCTCTGAACCAGTGTTAGTGATAAAGGAAGCCTCTGAGCCAGTGTTGGTGGTAAGGAAAGTCTCAGAGCCAGTGTTGGTGATGAGGAAAGCCTCTAAGCCAGTGTTGGTGATAAGGAAAGCCTCTGAGCCAGTGTTGGTCATAAGAAAGGCCTCTGAGCCAGTGTTAGTGATAAAGGAAGCCTCTGAGCCAGTGTTCGTGAGAATGAAGGCCTCTGAGCCAGTGTTTGTGATAAGGAAAGCCTCAGAGCCAGTGTTGGTGATGAGGAAAGCCTCTAAGCCAGTGTTGGTGATAAGGAAAGCCTCTGAGCCAGTGTTGGTCATAAGAAAGGCCTCTGAGCCAGTGTTAGTGATAAAGGAAGCCTCTGAGCCAGTGTTCGTGAGAATGAAGGCCTCTGAGCCAGTGTTTGTGATAAGGAAAGCCTCAGAGCCAGTGATAGTGATAAAGGAAGACTCTGAGCCAGTGTTCGTGAGAATGAAGTCCTCTGAGCCAGTGTTTGTGATAAGGAAAGCCTCAGAGCCAGTGTTTACATTACTATTCCTATACATGTGCTGCTATATCAAGCAAAACTAATTTTGTTTCTTAAAAATTTATTTCAGTCTTTTTGTTTGGAATTGTACATCAAAAAAAGAACTAACTATCTATGAAACCGCATACAATGTCTAAAACGTTTATAATTGAATTAATTAATTATATCCAAATTAACATCCCAGAATATAAATATAGCTTAGAGACATGTAAATCATGCCAATAAATTTTACACAAAAACACTGAACACAAGTTTGATGCATAATGCCTTGTCATTATAGAGTACTACATGTACCAGTACATTACATAACTAAAGCATTGTCAAAGGACAAAAAACAAATTTCCTCCCAGTTCAACTTAGATCAAATAATGTCACTTTTCAACTGTATTTATTTTCGACAGACACTTTCAATTTTCTGGCTAGTGTGATTTCAAGTGATCCATTTATGCTAATAATTGTTTACCTTTGAGTGCCTTAATTTATCTCGGCAAAATGTTGGTGCCTGTTTTTATGTATTATTCTATATTTTTTGATATATTTGGACCAAACACGCATAGGAAACTATGGGCAACAAGTCTTTATCAAAATTTTGGAACAATTATAAAAAAAATTATGTGTGTTTAAAATTTGTGAATTGTGACAAAAGTCGGTTTTGAACAGATCATGTACACCAGTTTAGATACTCCTTTATTTAGACAACCAAAAATTCTATATATAATTAACTAGTAAATAGTAAATAAAATATGGAAATATTTCATTCTATGACAATACTTATTATTAAATTGGAATAAAATATATTATAAAGCGATCACATTTAACCCCATACTGAAATTCATGAAATTCTGGAAACTATAGATTATATCAACATACTGACAGCTACATTGCACTATTGCGATTACTGTAGAATACTTTATTTTAGCTGGAATTAATTTTCGCTGAAAAGACATTCTGGGTGTTTTGTATGGAATTTATTTTCACTGATTTCTGAATGTAAAATATAGAAAGATTTGCTGGATTTTATTTTCACTGAATCGTTCCTTCAGCGAAAATTAATTCTAAGCGAAAATAAAGTATTTTACAGTATGTTAATTAGATGGTCTGAATTATGAATAGTGTGATTTGAATAGTATTGCAGTCAGTTGATTGGAAGTCAAATCATGAAATATTTTATGCAATTTGTGCACACTTGTACATCAAATATCCCTTGACCACAATAAATTTAAAGATTTAGTGTGAGGTGCCTGCAAGCTCGCTCAGATGACATTTTCCCGCCTAAATACATTTTTTCGGTATTCAGCGTACTTTTTGCAGCTTTTTTTTTTTGTAAGGATGCAGGTCTATTTTGTGCAAAATTGGTAACTGGAACGATGTGACGACTGATTTCCCAGAATTCAGCACAAATATCTATGAAGTTGACGACTTGTGTCAGATGCAAGCCAGCACAGGAGGTAAATTTGGCTTGTACATGTCCTAGTTTGTCAACACTACTAAATGTGCAAGGTTCCAAACCAAACCCTTATTCTGTCGGCCCCCTGCTAGTACTTTCATTGACTTGATCAGACAAGAGTCAACACAGACACCGATAATGTGGACAGACATCCTCACTTTCTATACATAATTTTATTGCCAATTACACTATGGGGTAAAAATCAACATTTTATAATAATTCCATGAAGCACATAACCAAGAATCTTTGTCCAGGAACATAGACAATAAGTACTCCATAAAAATAAACCAGCCTGGCCAAGTTTGCAGAGTATATATATTTAAATAATAAAAACAATTTTAATAACATTCACTTAGCACCAATATGAACAGATAAGAGAGCAGCCATGCATGTGATGAAGTGAGCAGTCATTTCTCATTATAAAAGTATAGCATTGCAACAACTGTAAACTTGTATTTGCTCCAATACATGTTACAAGTGTTCACAATTTTTATGAAATGTTGCGAAATGTTGAATATTTAAGTTTATTTTCTCGGCTTATAACCATTTGTCTTACGAAATTGAAACAACTTTCATGCAACTTGGCGCACAGGTTCCTGCATTTGCATCACTCAGTTATAAGGCCGATAAATAGACATGTAATGCAACTACGCAATGTGATGTAGATGTGCATAAAAGCCATATCAATTGAAAGAGCTCTATACCCAGGCTAAACTTGTTATTTGTTATCTGGGTAGAATAATCACATTTGCGTCAAACTGTGATGAACAGCCATCACGTTTGCCATGATACAGTGCCATCAAAATAATTCAACTTTTAAAGAAATTTTGCCATCACAATTCTACTGAATGACGCTAAACAGCAGTTTGTTTTTGTACATCTCAAAAGAATCTAGTAAATAAACTTTATTTTCATTTCAGTGCCTGCATATTAATTTCAGTTAAAATTTGTGCAAGTATGATTACAGGTCAACAACAAAAATTAAATACATGGTAATGAATGTCTGCATGTAATTGTAAAAAGACACATGCAAACAAGAAAATACATTAGACATTCAATTTCATAACTTGTCAATGACAAGAGATAAAATATTTCTTAGAGCATAGTATAGAGCAATGTTTAGATTAGAGAATGTCAGTAGCAGTCACTGAGTTTACTGAGATGTTAGTAAAGCATGCGACTTTCCCAGCCTATAATTCATTTGTATTTTGACTGACAAATATCAGATGTAATGTTGAGGAATTTATTTTTAAGCAATCCAATGGGAATCATTTTTCCACATGGTTCACTTAATTTTTTACAAAGCCACCAATTTTTTTCCTCCCAATCTCCCTACAATACCGATTGCCCAGTAGTACCAAATATCTTCCTGCGAGTCAACAAAACCTAATTGGCTGATTGACAAAACATGGGGAAAATAAAGTCAAAATATTTTATGTTACTGTCGCTGAAAAAAGCAAAGTAAATTGTCATTTTTACTTCTGCCAATGAAAACCCTGTTAAAATAAAGTATTGTACAGTATGTAATTGTGTACATTTTGCATCAAGTTTCTGTGGATGCATTATAGTGCATATAATTTAACAAGAAGTTACTGCATAGCTGACACACTGAACCAGATATGAAATGAATTAAACCAAAAACGGGTGGAAGAAAAAAAGCGACAAATATTCAGAAAATCAGGAGATCCAATGAAAAACAATGAACTGCAGCATACCAGTAGATGCATATCAAAAATACTCGAGAGAAAATCAAAGATGTACAAAGACTCAAGAACTGATGTATAAATTACATGCTACATATTTGACATTAAACTATGCATTTCAGGGAGATTATGCAATGTACATGTATTCTGTTCATTGTCACATATGGACTGCTGTTGGTCATGCCTCTAGAAACCCTAATAACTGTCGTTTTAGATTGCCAAGGGAAATCGTAATACAACATGTTTAAGTGAGCTAATTGGATAAGTAAAACATACACATACATGTATCACATATCATATAAAGCACATAATATTTCAATCACTGAACAATTTTAATATTGATCTCAACAGATACAGGAAACGCGACAAATTAGTGAATTTGGTTCAAAGCCTGAATTTTCATCATGTATGCTTGCATTCTCATAGTGAGAATATGCTACGATTTAAATATGCTACGATACAGGGAATCTATATTAGCAAAAATAACATGCTATTTAAAAAAAAGACATGTTTTACAGCAAATCCCAACCGCCACTCCACAAATGAGAGTCTTTATTTTTTTTTGAAAATGAGATGGCCATTTCATTAGCTGGCCTTTGCTGGAAAGCGAAAATCTAAACATATTGTCAAAATATAATTTTACCATTTTTTCTTGTGTTCATCTAAACTAACCCCACCTGGGCCGAGGGCGACTACAAGTAACAAGCCCCCTATGACAGACAGCGTTTGAAAAAAGTCGTATTTTAGAAAATCTCTCATTGGCCTATACTGTGGGATATTCCACCAAGCATTAAAATACATATTAAGACAAGTTAACCAGAGTACCAGAACTAAAGCTGAAAGTTTTGTCTTGAAACCCACAGCAACGCAGAGAATCAGGGCTGAGCCAATGATGTTTTGTAGCATCTGCCATGGAGAAAACTCGAAACGCAACAATGTCATGAACATCAAAACTAGTAAGATACGTCCACTGAGTTGCAGGTAGTTCTTTGGGCTGTTATCTCCCAGCGTGGGCACGCCAGCAAATAAACTTTTGCCTTCAACACGACTCTCTGCCAAAAGAAGTATGATACCACCGGCAAGAGCTAGATTCCTAAAACAAATAAATACAAGATTATTATTAACTGTCCAACTACATGTTGTAGTGAATAACACTAGTTGACAGTGTTTCGATAATGTTCAATATTGCAGTCCATGTGCATATGGGATAACAGCTGATAGATCCATAATATTATGCTTTTTCCAAAGAACACAAACAGTCTCGAAATAAATCAAAACTAAATAAACCACACGTAACTTGTGTGTACTGGATTTGTCTTCCACTGAAATTAACATCAATTTGCTTCATGAATATTTTTTAAACATTTTTGTGCCAGGCGACATTGAATGTCACATGTTACCGTTAAAATCCTATTATAAACCGCATACCTAATAGTAACTGCACCCCCGATTTCGGCTTCAGTGTTAAAGAGTTCTCAAAAAAAATTGAAAACATGAAAAGTACCTAATACTAGCCGCACCCCCAATTCAACAAGACCGTGACAGACTTTGTTTCAATCAGCTGGTACATTGTTTCTAATCCTATTTATTTGTTTCGACAACGTGCCTAAAAATATTCACACCTCTTTATTGTTCAGTAGTGTTAGGATGTCAAACACGAAGTGAAACTGCTTTTGTCTTGTGACAACTTTTGTCAATACTCCTTATGAATACGTCAGTGTGTCGCAAGTTTTTGACAATGAGCTGTTCTCACCGAAAAACTGTTAAATTCTTTTTCAATGCTCAGTTTATCTTTCGAAAACAACTAATTTCTTGATTTAAAAATAAAGTCATGTCGTTTTCCCATGGAAATCAAAGCCAAAAGATCGCACTACATTATTGGTAAATCGCTTCTGGGTTTCGTTCACCGTGAAGTCGGTGACCTGTTATTAACATATTTAAATGAACTAAGGTAATTTGAACACGTGGGCACCATCCAGCATTTTGATTGGTTAATGAGCGACTTGACCTACCCGGTCAAGTAATGTCTCGCGTGCATTCAAACTACATAGCGGAAGTCGTGTCGCATCAATCGTTTACATGTGACCGAAATAATTTGCTTACGGTGAAAGTAAGTTGAATTTTACTTGCATTTGATAACAATTCAACGAGTTTATTTTTCGTGCGTTACTATAATCACTACTGAGTAATAATCAACAATTTCAACAATTCGAAAACAAGTAAGTTATTCACTTGTGAGCCGGAGCATGGCCGGATTGCGTTACCGTACCCACGGTACCGTACATTTTTAGTGCCATACCATGATCATTTTCTACTAAAGCAATGCATTAATGTTTGTTTTTATTTGAAATTCCTGTCAGAATATACTTTCCGTTACGAAGAAAATTACAAAAATAAATCTAAATTGGAGTTAGCTTATATTCAAAAGATTGTACGGTGTATTGTTTGGTTTGTGCAAGTGACGTGGGAAAAAAATTACTACGCCAATTTAGTGATTGCAATATAAACTGCACCCCGAACTTAAGCTGTTGATCCCAATTTTTTATTTGATACATTGTAATATAAACCGCGGTTTATAATAGGATTTTAACGGTACTCCTCACATTTTTTAAATAAATGTTCAAATTGCAAGTGCAAGAGCTGACATACGCTGCATTGCCACAGAAGTCGTATTCATGTTTGGGACTACATGACAGGGCTATGCGGCCAGCTCTATCAAATAGCAATTTAATGCAATATCCTTGCATCAACCAGGTTCACCAAAGTCGCATCTGTTAGTGAATGAATCCGCCAGTGGATTTAGCCTTCTCATCAAGTCCACACTCACCCAGGGTAAGGGACCGAACCTTTTTTGTGGTAGAGTTTGAACTTTGATGTATATAAATATATAATGATCTTCATAATTTGGTTAATAGTAGAAACTGAGATTACCTCATTAAAAATTTGAAGTCCCATAAAATACTATAAGCAACAGTCTGCAGTGTGATAATGCCCATTAGAATACCGCATGCTACTGGAACTTGTTTTCTACTTAAAACCATGACACAGCCACCAATCTGTCCAATCAGGTTTATTAACACGAATAGTGAACTGAAACGGTAAAAAAGAATTTTATATCAATATACTTAACAGGATTCGTGCTGACCATTACCATAATGCTACACAAACTATTCACAAAAATGGTTTCAATTGAAAAAGGAAGTCAGTGCTGTAATAATATACCGTCAGTGACTTCAACATTAGTATATTTGAAGTAAAAATGTTGTAGCTACTTCATTATTCAAGTGGTACAATGTAATAGTGCTGCCTCATTGCATCTCTCTAAATACAAAATATCATCACTTAAGTAATATTTTTTTTATTAAAATTAATCTTGCAATTGTTAACAAGATGCTCCTGCTTGTGTCCATCATGATATACAGCACATTGCAAAGTGTTCATAATACATGTTCTTGCATCAATATGGACCGACTGTTCCGTGTGAAGAATTTGTCTAGCAAGCAGCTAGAAACAGGAAGTGAGCGCCCTCCAGTGGTCACTTTCTTGTTTAGTCATAAAAAGATACAGGGTCAAGCTCTGTGTAGATGACAGTAGGAACAGATGACTTTCTAATAAAATCAAATAGATACATACCTTAGAATGTAACCACATCCCCATGTTGTGTCAATATAATCCCTCTGTTCATTCCACTGAAGCCACATACGAATACCGTCTTCTAAGAAAGTACTAATTAGGCAGAGACGAGCAATATGCGGTAAAACATGTTTACTTTTTCGCAACACCTGAAAAGGGGAAAAGAAAACCGCTTTAACGCTTCCTAAACAACTAACATTTTTTTCAACATGAAAAACATACACAGTAAAATGTTTAATTGTTATCACTATCAATTTTCATGAAGAAACAAAGACACCAAATTACTGTACATCACTGTAAAAATTACGCACAAAAAACAGTGAGCATGATACATCCGTATGCCGTCTTGGTAGTATTATCAAGCAGGTGTGTATGTGTGTATTAACAGAATTAAAATTCCATTCACACTACATTTATACTCCATATGCTAACAATATGGTGACAATCTGATAACACATAATATATGGCTATAATAATGTTTATCACATTTGTAAAGAAGCATTAACAACTGTTACTAAAGCGGTATCATCACTATGTATACAACTTGTGTCCAGTACATTTCAAAACTTACACATACAGGTAGAGTATTTATATAGTACTTGTGTTTCACGTTTTTGAATGCGGAGGTAATCTCCCATTTCTGTTTATGTAAATTAAACATATCTAAGTAGCCTCTGAGTGGTAAGATAAAAACAATATCACAAAATCACAGTAGTACTAGTAAACATAATCTTTTTTTTGAAGAGCACAAATTTAACAGGATACAAATTATTTTTGTGTGTGCGAATTAATAGAATAATTTTTTCTTTATTTTTTTGCCATGATATCATTTAACAACTTTACAATTTTACACGGACAACAACAATGTTGTTCTAAACTGAAATTTTCATCAAACACTCTTAGCATCCATAAAGTGGAAGCAATGAACTTTCAACAACAACAAAAGAGTTGAGAGCAATGAAATGATTTCCATGCTATAAAAAACTGAATTACAAAAATATAAATTTAAATCTCTTGAACACTACAAACTGATAGGATACATAAAAAAATTTTTTTTTTTTTAAACAAATTGGTTGTGCGAATTAATAGAGACTATGTTGTTATGGTACATGAATGTTAGGATTTATAAAGTACTTTGTACTGCACATGCCAAGCATCTTATCTTACACCTCAAACAATTGTCATTCATAGACCAGTCTATAGAGGGACTGTTACCTGGAATTGTTCTGTCCACACAACATACCAACATTTTTTAATTTAGCAATTCTCTAAGACAAGCCTACGTCACAAACTGGTCAAAATCCCCCAAACATTGCCAGCAACCAATCACAGACTAGCTTAAACAATAGCTTTCCCTGACGATAATACTTAGCAACGTTATTTCCCCCACGCTAACTTGAAAAATCTTTTGTTTTTGTCTCGTTTCCGTTTCCGTCTTAGAGAATTGTGTTTATGTAAAAAAGTAGGTAGTGGACAAGAACCTGATGATAGCCACTTTAGGAATGTTTATTAGATTTATGTAGTTTAATTAAGTACAGTACCCCTTAGTTTTAGTTTTACAGGGAGTCAGTTGTATGCAACTCTCGTATCTTACGGTGGTATGCGCTGTCACGAGAAGCTGACTTTTGCAATTTGCAAATGTTTGAAGGCGCATCTGTGTGGATCAAATGAACACAGTTCTAACCAATAACATCAATAGCACCCAGAAATAAGTGAGATTATCACCACATTCAAAAAAAGCATGTACTGTATGGGGCTTAGTTGATTGCTGGGTTTGAATATACCGGTAGTGAACAAAAACTAGTCTGAAATAAATAGAAATTGGTTCTTTCAGACTCACTAATTTGAAATTAAATTAATCTATAATCAATATCAATGGGTGTCTAATGAACTAATCAATAATTATTAGTTAATTAAAGGAGATAAATACTAGTATAGAGACGAGAAAACTTAGCTTCGAACAGCTGTTTCAAATGTTTGACCTAGATTCACTAGCATTGCTACCCAAATGACCAGAGAACCTCGTACGGCTTATATGCGGTTGTTGGTGTTAAAACAGTAGCGGTATTATACAGTTGCATATAGTGCCCCTCCCTCCCTCCCTCCCTTCCTTCCTTCTCCACCACGTACGTTTAACCCTAACAGCCACGTACAAGTCGTCGAGCTCCTGGCGCAATTGACATTCTTATTTCCAATCTCCCCCTTGACCAACCAGCTAGCAATTGCCAGATTACAGACATGACATTTTAAAAGAAATTTTGCTCAAATTTAAAAGCCATTGCGTGGTACACAAACATAGATGTGATTACAGTGGACGTAGTGAATCAATGAATGAATGAGACTATTCACCATAATCGGAAGTGTGCTGTCACATCGTGAATGGCACGATTCTAAACCTGTGTGCAGTAGCCCGGCTTCCGGATACACACGTTGCTAAAATCGTATCGCATACATTACAGTACGAGAAGATACATGTTATACAGACCAACGTACCTGGTCGGCAACATCCTCTGCTTTGCTCAAAAACTCATTTTGGGACGACATGTTTCTAACAAGCCTCCGAAAACACCTCGAGATGAGGTAAGGTGTGCTCCGCTACTTTTATTTCAAGATGGCGGAGCAGAGAGAGAGGATACTCCCGGCAATCTTTGCGGTTAGGGGTGCCACGTACGTATTATTCGCTTAAACGCGCAGCTACTCTATTTAATCATGGGGGGGGGGACTTGTTCATTGTGAGTGGATTTGAGACCATCTGAGTGGAAGAAGCTAGATATTATAACTAGCGCTATTTCTGGCCAAAACTGGATAAACAGGCTTAGTCACTGTTAGTTGACATAAAACTAGATTTTCCCCGATTTTTGTCTGCTTGTAAATTAAATGTCACACTAGAAAATATTTGTCTGAGACAACAAGGAGTTTTGTTTTGAAGCCCTGCATTTTGTATACTAGTATGCAATCTGGAACGACTAGTTTTGAGTCCTGGGTCAGCACAAATACAACCTCAAATCCACTTGAAAATATGTCGCAAATCGGAGTATTACGATTCCACAATTACAACATAATCTATGGCTCCACTTTCCAAGTTTACCCAGATAGGTCTTATACCATTCGCCAGTCGTTTATAACGCCCCCCCCCCCCATTCACCAGGGCTTAGCGATGTAAGCGAGTACGTCTATGCTCGTGGTCTCAACTCTTCGTGAAATGGTTTAGCCCACAGCTGAATACTAGTACTTTGGGACAAACCGGACGAAGTATCGATTGTTCAATCCCATGGAACCCCATGCTTCCATACAGAGGCCTGCTTACATCATCGTCATTCCTCTGTGATTTACCTGTTTTTATTCACGTCACGCGTTAGGTGAGGGTAGGGCAAGGGTTATTTTCGTTCAACGTAATTACAATATTTTGTTGTTCGTACAACGTAAATTGAAAAAAAAAAATTCCGTAATTCTGTAATCACAGGCTAGACGTACAACGTAATCAATCAAATATTTTTTTCGTACACTGTAAAAATGTGTCATTTTTCTCGGTACGTACAAGAATTTACATCCAAATAAAAAAAATCGTAAAGAATAATCCAGGTAAATTACATTTTAGAAACTGTAAAACGACGAGATGATACAATTCACTGCAAAATCGAATGTCAAGACATAAAAGGCCCTCTAACCAAATGAAGAGCATTACGATGGTAATATGCGCATGCGTTTCTACGC